TCCTGCTCTAATTCTGGAATCTATCTCATGTTCGTAGGAGTTATATAATGTCTTCCGTTACTTAGCATAGTACGGTCTCCTAGTAGAGCCGAAGAAGGAACACTCAATTAGGAAATATTTATAATTTATTTCAAATTTATGTCAATCTATTTTAATGAGAAAAATTGAAGGTTTTCCAAGAATTCTGTTGTATTCATTATGTATGCAATATGACACGCAATAATTCTATTGTATCACCTGTGATCTAAAGTGCAACAATAGCTAAGCGGTACATATATTATGTTATATATAAGAGATTAATATGTGATCATTGTTAATTCTTGTTTCTTTGTGTACTCGCATTTTACTTATTTGTTATCGGTTTTTAGCTTTAATCATGATAAATATAAAGAATGTTATAATTTATACATATGTTTCAATATGTTTGTTTTATATTATACATCTTCTCTGGATCAGTCAAACATTTTATGTAACTTGACTTGATCAGATGCGTTGCATTCTGTTGAAAAATCAGTGTGGCGATCTTGATTCATGAAATTGTATCAAGAAAGCATGGCACCAACATCTTCCCTTTAATGAATTATAAACCAAAAAAAAAGATACGAACCGCGACGAATATATGAAAACAAAGGATAATACACCTTAGAAGGATAATAATATAAGTGCATTGGAATGCATGAAAACTGCGTTACATTTATATTTCAAGCTTACAAACATCAACAACACAGTTTCATTTCATTTTGAAGTTCCATCTTCGTCCGATCATTATTTTCCTCTAACATACAGTTACCACATTTGTTTTGTTGTCTCCCAAATATATCATTATCTGCTTGTGTCCTGAGATGTAACACAATTCAACATCTTATTCACACCTACAAATACATATCTTTGAACAGTTTCGCCCTCGCTAAGCGAATTCTTATGTTTATCGCTGGAATAATGATCTACGCTCCCTTGGATCTTACTTTATCGCGGAATAGTGTTCAAGATTAAACTGTTGTGTAGACATTACGAGTACATTTCTACAAAACAAGCTACAAACTTAAGTTACCGTTTTACGCATTGTACTCTGTGCGCGAAAACAATATCTGGCAACAAACATCGTGCTACAGTATAAAACAACCATACACGCCCAGGACACAAGGAATCTATTCCATAGATTAACCCTTTACGCTATTGGTGTTTAAGGGCGCTCGCCCGTGTAGCGTGTTTAGCAATGTTAACAAACACGAACGTTCATATCTTAACACCGAAAGGGTTAAATAACAATGATATCCTGTATCCAAACATTAAGTTTAATAATATGTATCACATACAGGTATTTCGTATTTATTATATATCAACAATGGGGGAGTTGAATTAAAAAAGGCTAGCTAGTTCACTTACTAGAAATTTATTTTTAATGTCTTCTGTTTATATCTCTCTTTCTCTCTTTGCTCGATCTTGCATTGATTCATGAGTGAAATAAATTGATTCGTTTCAATACTGCAAATCTCGTCCTGTTATCTGGCAATTTGCTCGTTATTCAATTCTCAAAATCTCGGGACAGTTAACAAAAGGACCTCGTGATACAAACTGGTTCGTTCTTTTAAAAACGCTGAATGCGGAATGATCATTAATAGCGCTTTACAAAGCTCGCTTAGCGAAATACAAGTGTGCATGTGTATATATTTATATATAGAAACTTAAGACTTATCATCGTTAGCCATGAATTAAATTTATTGCGAGGTAACGAGGTCCATATATAATATCATCATCATCATCATTATTATTAATATCGTTATTGTTACATAATATCCTGCGTACAGTGTGCCTCACGTTTCGGGAGAAAGCATAAATGTAGCGTGTAAATATTTCAAGATACTTCGAACCGACAAACAATATATCTTTATCTATATAATCAGATTATCTTAACAATTTACACAATTTTTATTACAATCGTCACAATTTTATATCATCCGTGACGATAATTTCTTTATTTGCACAGCGGATATTATTAATTGACGAAAGAAGAAATAAAATCGACTGTTTTCCTTATATAGTTGCAAAGGAAAGTTCA